CTGCTGATGGGAAAGGAGGGCATTCCCCCTATCCTAGACCCCTGCCCAGGATAAGGTTTTGGTATTGATTTTGGGGGGCCACATTCTTTTTAGACTGCTTGGCGATCACATAATGACATGTGAGTGCTTCTCATGCCTGGAGTACTGGGAGCCCAACATATGTGACTACGCACCCCATTGGAGGGGACTTTAAATGACAGGCTGGGCTCACGGGAAATAGGCAATATGACATGACTGAAGAGGACCACCGGCTCTAGAATGAGGAGGAAGCTGAGGACAGCACTGGAGCTCGGAGAGGGTTAATAAAACTTTTTGCCATCTGTATTTTTTTTAACACAGGAAGGGGGGAAATTAAACAAAAAGAGAATGTACTGTAAGTGGAGTTCCTCTTTAAGATGAATAAAGGTTTGTGTCATGTATACTTCCTGAATCATTGCATGGCCTTAGAGAGTTCTTGTTCATTTGGTTGTAGTCGTGCTCCAATATCCTTTCCCCTGCGGTCCTACAGAAGAAATGGAATTTATTTGGAGCACCATGAAGGATCTCTGGCGTCGCCTGGAAACCTTGTAGCAGTTTGCTCTGTCACTATTGAAACTGTACAAACATCTGTTTGTTTTTCATCTCCTTTTATTTGAAGGGACAATAAAGGAAGAAGGTAAATTAAGGACAGAAATCCCAAATGACATCCTGCTTCTGATATAAACTGTTTTTGTTTCCTAATATTTGTTAAATAACTTTATTTTAGCTATAAAGTGCAGACATTGCCGGGACGGACTTACTTTCCATGTCCTTATCTGAGGACATCTCTGGCAAAAACTATTTTGTTTAGATATAATTGGGAAAGGTTAGATCCCCTGAAGTGGTTGTACTGCTGTCCGTGTCCCCTTTGTGGGAATTATATTCACTTCCTGCGTAGTCATTGGGACAGGAATTGAGGGGAAATTTCAACTTAACAGTTGCTTACACTTGTGTTACACACCCCTAACCACTACACTCTGTGCGTTGCATACTTCTGGCTCCTGCACTCCATGTGTTACACACCCCTGATCCCTGCACTCTGTGCATTGAATGCTCCTGACCCCGGCACTCTGTGCATTGCATAATTCTGACCCCTGCACTCCATGTGTAACACTCCCCTTACCCCTACACTCTATGCATTGCATGCTCCCGACACCTGCACTCTATGCATTGCATACTCCTGACCCCTGCACTCTATTACACAGCACTGTCCACCTGCAGTATGTGCATGACACATTCCTGATTCCTGTACATGACACACTCCTGACAGCTGCACACTGTGCATTACACACCCTGACCCCTGCATTTTGTGTGTTACATACTCCTGTTCCCTGCACTCTGTGACTTACGTGCTCCTGAACCACGCACTCTGTGCATTCCTGACCCCATCACCCTATGCGTTACATACTCCTAAACCCTGCACTCTGTGTATTACGCATCCTGGCCCCTGCACTCTGTGAGTTACATACCCCTGAACCCTGCACTCTGTGCCCTACATATTTCTGACCCCCGCATTATGTACTCCTAAGTCCAACACTCCTGACCTCCGCACTGCTGCCCTATATACACTATATTGTACCTTACATAATTCTGACTTATCTCTGACTATTCCAATACAGTTCTTCTTAAAGCTAGGATCTGACAAAGTTAAATCTCCCAAGAGCCAGCCTGCTGCTTGCATCAGTGCTGAGGGCCCTTGAGAGGTGCACTGAGACAAGGTGCCGTCATGTTTTTAGGAAGCTATGTACAGCAACCTACCAGCCCCTCACACCAGCCATGATCTGCCTGCATTGCATAGGGAAACACATCACACTCGGTGATGATGTCACTGGATCTAAAATAAGGTATTTAACAAAAACAGAAAGATTTTATTCATACATTTTATTGGGATGATCAGAGGGGGGGGAGGGGGGAGCAGGGAAGGCAAAATACAAGCAGATCAGCTTTAAGCTGACCCCTTTCACATATATAGGAACACCATAGAAAAGATCACAGTTCCTCCTTAACGTGGCTGCTTTTGTTTCCCGGCGATGGATCTTATTGATCGGTATGAATACTTTATAGCCAGCTGCAGGCGGTCGGAATGATTCAGAGATTGGTTGCTTCTCCCCACATCGCTTCCACTGCTGATACCCATTGTGTGGGCAGGTCTGCTCTGTCTCTTTACTTATGTATGATCTTCTCTCAGAACAGATTTGAACGGCTTTGTCATTCTCCATAGATAATAACAAAATATATATACCGTGTTTCCCCGAAAATAAGACACTGTCTTATATTTTTTTTGGCTCAAAAAAACACTCTAGGTCTTATTTTCGGGATAGGTCTTATTTTTTTTTAATGTACAACAATCCAAAGTTAATGCAAATCCAAATTAAATAATCCAAAATGGCAAAGTTAAGAATAGGGTGATCAGGGAAATGAGGGGTGCCGTACCTTTCCAAGAGCAATTTGGTAACCAATTTGGTAACCAATCGCGCTTTCACTAGTATTCCTCACAGGCGGAGTGAGTTTGGTATCACTCCGCCTGTGACAGGAGTAAGCATTGGCTTATGCGGCTCTGCTCCCTCCGGTGACGCCTCGCTTCCTCTAGCGCCGGCTTAGTTGGCACCGCTGATTCTCTCCCGCGGCTCTTCAAGTTCCCCCTTATGACACCACCGGCCCTGGAAATGGTCACAACTAGGTCTTATTTTCGGGGTAGGTCTTATATTTTAGCAATTCCCAAAAACAGTACTAGGTCTTATTATCGGGGTAGGTCTTATTTTCGGGGAAACGGTATATATACTGTATATGTTTCAGAGGAAACAGAACCAGAGAAGTACAGAGGGAATGAAGAGCTAAAGTTGTCTGTTTGATCATTTATAAAGCTGCGGTGTATTATAATTGTATAAAAGGGGGACAAAGTGCCAGTGCTCGAGTACCCTGGAAACACGAAGCGCACAGCTCACCCCTATCATGCGTCCCCGCAATCCACACTTGGAGCAGTGGCGTCACAAGGGGGGTGCAGGGGGGGCGGTCCGCATCCGGGTGACACCATTGGAGGGGTGACACCAAAATAACTGCAAGTCATGATGAGGCCACCCCCCTCTGAAAAGTTGGGTACTCGGTCAAGAACCGAGAGCCCGACGTTTTAGAGAGAGAGAGAAAGAGAGAGAGAAAGAGAGAGAGAGAGAGAGAGAGAGAGAGAGAGAGGATGGAACCCGGCGGCATATCTTATCCCGCCGGGTGAACATCTCTCTCTGCCGGCGTTTCTCACTGAGATGGCCTCTGGCAGGTAACAATCGCGGGTGCGATGATGTCACTGCGGGGTGTCACCCGATACCCGCACCGGGTGTCGCCCTGCCTCGAGACGCCTCTGAAAATCCTGTCCTCCCCTCTAAATTTTACTGTACAGAGTCCATAATGGGGTTTGACTGCTGGATTGGGCATCTGATTGGATGCTGGCGTGGATCAGAAGCTGGCATTAGCAGTGTCCTGTGCAAAAATGACACTTGCAAAAGGTCTGCAGGTGTCATTGAGTAATACAGTATAACAACGTATTGCTACAATGTATTTACTATTTTATTCATATGTAGGTCAAAGTTGTATCCTTTCATCTGAATATGACATCAAAAAACAAATGTATTCCGTTTTAACCCCTTATTAGTTAAAGTGACACTAAGCTCCGGAGTTAAATCTTAAAAATACATTCAAGTACCTTAACTATGAACAACAATGCATCTTATTTGTGTATCACTCGGCTGTAGATCCTCCAATCATCTCTGAATTGGTGCTGACACTGTCCTTCCTTCTGGAGGGTGACTACTTTTGTTCCCCATGGTCCCTGTGTGTGTTGTAGAGTAGTCACTGTTCCAAGCTCACTCCTGTGATGGACTACAATTTCAATACAAAGGAATAAACTAAACATGATATTGTAGTCCATCCCGGGAGTGAGCTTGGAGCGGTGACTATGTTACAAACTTCCAGTTTTACACTTTTATACTCCTTATGGACCAGAGCAAGTTTTTAAATCTTTTGGTAATCTGATTTAAAGATTTAAAAAAAGGTTTTGGTTTTCTTTGCAAATTCTAATGCAGCCTGCAGTTCCGATGAACGTCCACTAGGGGGCACCAGACAGCTGCAGTATCCCATCCTATAGCAAGATGCTCTAGCCATAGGCAATGACTACATTTCCCATCATGCCATGCAGAAGGAGTGGCTTTTTTTCAGCTACAATCAATTGTCCAGCATTCTTTCCTGCTGATGTGTGAGGGAGCTGCCTCTGCTGGGCGTCCATCTCTGGTCCCCCTCCTGCAGCACAGACACTTCTCTCTCTTCCAGGACCAGAGCTGTGTGGGCAGAGCCATGTAATATAAGGAGCCCAGCTGACTATTACTCGCCATCTTGTAGGAAAAAACAAATATCAGGACAAGAGGAGGTGAGTTTGGAGTTTGCAAATTGCAACAATGTGTCTCAGCTTCTGCCCTGGTCCCCCTGCCTGTCAATCTAACCCGGCCAGTGCTTAGTGGTCACATTCTCCGGGCTGCATGGCTGGCACCACTCTGAAACTGTTCTACAGGAGCAGTTTCAAGTTTGAAAGAACTGTCCCTGGAAATGAGTCCTGGTCCCAGTTTTGTTGAGCTGAATTGGGACTTTTTGCTTTTCTGTCTATTGCAGACCATAGCTGCTGCATTTATTTTCAGTATTAACTGGGTTTTGTTTTACTATTTACTGTTATTTTTTTTTTCTTTTCAATATTCATGTTTTTTTAAATCCAATATTTTTTTTCTTTTCTGTATTTATTGTTTGTTTTTTAAAATCAATATTATTATTGTTTAATATTTTTTAAAATATTTAGTGAATATTTATTTTCAATATTCACTTTTTTTCCCCAATATTTGTATTTTTCTTTTTAATATGTATTGTTTTTATTTATTTAACTTTTTAAAATATTTGTTTTTATTCAGTTTTTTCTTTTTAATATTTACAGTATTTTTTTTCTTTTTAATAACTTTTTTTTTCTTTTTTGTGATGTTTAAATGTAAATATTGCTGGAATTAATTGCTGTGTCAATGAGCTGAGGTTTAAAAAAAATACCTCAGCTCATTAACACCCCCGCACTGCAAGGGTTAAGTGCTCGTTTTGGTCTAGGGACGAAAATAAAGAAGATACACCCACCTGATCCTCGGTCATGTGGTAGTGACCGCTCACCTCTCTCCCCCTCTACTCCAGCTGTGGTATGACTCAGAGTGTCCACACGTCTGATGATCCTGCATTAGATGTGATGATGTCATGGGGCCTTATATTGCTGGAGCCCGGGGGAAGAAGATGCTGCAGGGACCGGTCTAGCAGCCAAATGGGATTGAGGGTCAGGCAGTCCAGACCAAAATGAGCACTTAACCTTTGCAGTGCTGGGGCAGCCCCAGGGTCGCCCCTATACTAAGGCTGCATCTCATTGGGGAGCGGCCGGATGGTGTGTGTGTGTGTGTGTGTGTGTGTGTGTGGGGGGGGTTGGCACAGCGTACCATGTCTCTAAATACTGCTAGAAACCTCTGACGCTCTGTGAGGTGCCGCCCACATCAATGACATCATCGGTTGGCAGGAGCTGAGCAGGGACGCCCTGGCTTGCCTCCTACTAATGACGTCAGTGAGCTGGGCGGGACGCCGGAGAGAGCCAATGACAGTGCAGTCCATGCATTCCTCCACTACCAACCACCACTAACCATTACCTGACTCCGCCCCCTTCCCCAGGACAGCCCTGGGTACTTCCACGGCAAGGGTTAAATTTAATAAATCCCAGAGTTCCTCTTTAAATAGAAATACAATGTTTTTTGGGATTGCTGACACCAGGGCGGAAGCGTTTCTGCACGATTTTTGAAAGGGGTGTTTTTGAGCATTTAAAATTTGCGTTTCAGCGCTGAAACGCAATGAAAAACGACCCAAAACGCGCTGATCAGTGCGTTTCCATGGAAATCTATATGGCAACTGGGCTGGTCAGCATGAAAATATAGCTCAGGGAGCATTTTGGGCGGAAAGCGGTTCGGATCGTGCGGAGCCGTGCGCTTGCGTGAACGGTCCCCATAGCAATGTATGGGATTGTCAAATCCGCGTGAGCGAACCGCCCCGGTCTGAACGGGACCTTATTCTGTTTTTATTGAGGTTTACTTTTCATTTAGAATATTGTTTATTTAGAAAATAAGGAAAATAGTTACTTTTGTCTTATAAACATAACAAAGTATAACAAAGTAACTGTTTTGTTTTGGCGAATCCACATACAATGCCGCTCAGGAAGGGCAGAAAAGGGCACAATTTAGGGCAGCGGTCGCCAACTGGTGGTCTGTGAGAAAATGTCGGTGGTCCCCAGGCCCCTCTGATGCCCGTGCAGGCTGGGCCATCATTGAAGCGGCATGGAGGCTCCGGGGC